TTGAAAGATAGGGAAAAGTATTTATTCAAGATTGCAGGACATTAATTCATGATTACGCTCGCTGGGAAACTGCTTCACCTGAAAGTAAAAGCATACGTTTAGTACGTTATCCGGCTGTGCATCATCAGTACGGATCTGAGGATCACACTGGATGTGAGGTGGTATAATGGTTGGATTTCTCAACACAATATATAACTGATGTTTTCGTCATGGTACACCGTTAAGCCTTCATTCTATCGACCCCGGTTATACAAACTCGATTACTCACAAGCCACCGTGATAGGGCTGCATATTTGCTGATTACATGATTTAATGAACCATTTAATGGGGGAGGGGGAGTGGAGAATTAACCCAGAATATTTTTGAAAAATAGATTTATGCTTCAGACTGTTGACAAAAAATACATTGTTGCAAAAACGTTTTCATAGAGAACTGGTCAGTTCGTTATGTTAGCAACATCCCCAACAGGTATAGGAGTTGAGATAATGGATAATGGATACCGATTGCATAATGGTACATGCTTTGACCACTTTGTACCATCACATGTACCAGTACAATTTAGCCTTTCGAACCGACATGATGAGAATCAATGTTGCCCATATACCCTGTGGCGTGAACTGTGCATGTGTTTAATGCATCCATGCTTATTTAAATATAAATTGCTGCTTTGCCGGCATGTCATTTCAAAGGTAGGAAATATAAATTCAACAAGTTTATGGAAAAGTTTCGTCGAACAAAAACAGTTACCTTAAAGTGTATGTCACATTCATATACTTTACATTTAGACAGATGCGCTGGAAGAGCATCTGTTCGACCTCAGTTAACGTTGCCGTTACCCGCCGCCATTGCCATTGCCGTTACCGTTACCGTTACCGTTGCCGTTGCCATTGCCGTTACCGTTGTCATTGCCATTGCCGTTACCGTTGTCGTAACCGTTGCCGTTGCCATTGCCGTTACCGTTTTATTTACCGTTGCCATTGCCGTTACCGCTGTCGTTCGAGTCGTCATATTTGTCATCATTGTTCCCTTCGTCACATTCTCCATTGCCGTTCTCACCGTTGCCATTGCCGTTCTCACCGTTGCCATTGCCATTGCCGTTCTCACCGTTGCCATTGCCGTTGCCGTTCTCACCGTTGCCATTGCCGTTGCCGTTCTCACCTTTGCGTCTGCACCTTCTTTTACGAGGAGCGCTTAGGGCGACAGCGCAAACACATGCCAAGACAAGGAGAAATACGGCGAACTTCATGTCTGCTGTTCAAATAGCTGTGAAGTAAGAAAGACTCTTCAATGTTATTCATGTGCTGATAAAATCTTGTTAAGACTTGCCATCAAACCCTCACTACCTCTCATTGCCATGATTTAATTGACAAACAAGTGACAAACAACATGAATGACTTATATTTAAGACATCGTTTACATTTAATCACGTATAATTAGATTCCTTTATCCTGCATGCTAGTTTATAGCAGGAAGTGAGTATGGTTTTTCGCCGCTTTTAGAAATATTCCAGAAATATCAAGGCGCGGGACACCAGAAATAGGCTTCACATATTGGGGCGGTCGGGTAGCCTAGTGGTTAAAGCGTTCGCTTGTCACGCCGAAGACCCGGGTTCGATTCCCGACATGGGTACAATGTGTGAAGCCCATTTCTGGTGTCCCCCGCCGTGATATTGCTGGAATATTGCTCAAAACGGCGTCAAATCATACTCACTCACTCACTCACTCACTTCACATATTGTACCCATGTGGGGAATCGAACCAAGGCCTTCGGCGTGACGAGCGTACTCTTTAACCACAAGACAACCCCACCGCCCCTTATAACAGACACCACTATTTGAAGTATCCCCGTACTCGCATCTCTCAGACACGAGTTCCAAAACACGGACCTGACAAATTCATAGATATCGACAATCTGGAATCATTGCATTGACTTCTTTTTTCTTGCTATGCGACATTTCGTTACTTTGCATGGGAAGACTAATTAAAGAAATTGAAATCCATAATGATATAAGTCAGCCTCAGTGAGGTGTCGCGTTCAAGCTTATTGCACTTATAAAGCGATGTGCATGCACGTGTGCGTGTGTGGAAGGGTGTGGTGTGCTTGTGATAATCCGGACTAATGCTGGTGTCATAGTTCTAGCCCACTGAGATACCATGCTGCATTTTCAGATTGATTACCCAACTCAGTCACAGTATACTGACTCCGAGTTGACCAGTCATTTTTTCCCCTGAATGTCGAGGGCCAGGCAGGTTAACTACAACTACCATCTTTTAACAAGTACCATCTTTCTTGGGTAAGACCCGCTCAAGGGATCGAACTACCGACCTTCCGATCTCCCACCGGACGCTCCATCCACTAGACCACGGAGGATGCCTACTGTCAATACAGACAAGATTGGCTTATGGATAATTCGCAATTCGCTGTACTGAGCGAAGTCCCGTGGGCATAACATAAACCTATGATTGTGGTTTCGAATACCAGTTCGCCCCGATTATGTTTCTAGGTTTTTGTCAGCACCATACCCGTGCTCTTCAGTTTCACCAAATGCTAAACATCTGAGAGCTGCATCACTTTCCTCCCACACCAAGACACGCGTTAAACCTAACTCACTCATTCGCTCTCTAATCATCGCCTACTAACAGTGAGGGCAGCACGTGTTCGGCTAAGCATGTCCTGTTCAACTGACAACACTGTCAGTGCGTATGGTTAGCGTAAAAAAATGCAAGACTGACTAATGCTTTACTAAGATTTGCTCATGCTCTACTAAGATTTACTAATGGTTTACGAAGATATACTAATGGTTGAACATGTTAAAACTGTACTTACAATTTCGCTACAGATCAGATCAGACACAGTTGCGGGAGAAGTGCGGGATGCAAGGATATCGAAATGATCCCCCTTTATACCTTTTGTTGGTTTTCCACGTGACTGATTATGGCGATATTTTTCTTACAAAGTTGACATATTTTGTGGATAAGGACGTCTTTATGTTGTGCAACAGCGACATTTAAGGGTCTGTACCGAAACGTGGCTATTACAGCAAAATAAAGAAGTAGTTTTCTATAAAAGGTTTTAACCTTGTCAGTCCGTCATCTACTAAAATAGGCCCTAGATCATTTCTGACAACCGGAAAGTAAATAATGCTTATCTTATATTTGGAAGGTTTCATCCTGTTGTATACATGCAGTGCCGAAATGTAGACACTCACCACATTGCATGCAGTGCCGAAATCTAGACACTCACCACATTGCATGCAGGAAAGAAATGACACTCACCACATTGCATGCATAGCCGAAATGTAGACACTCACCACATTGCATGCAGTGCCGAAATGTCGCCACTCGCCACATTGCATGCAGGGCCGAAATGACACTCACCACATTGCACGCAGTGCCGAAATGTAGACACTCACCACATTGCATGCAGTGCCGAAATGTCGCCACTCGCCACATTGCATGCAGGGCCGAAATGACACTCACCACATTGCACGCAGTGCCGAAATGTAGACACTCACCACATTGCATGCATAGCCGAAATGTAGACACTCACCACATTGCATGCAGTGCCGAAATGTCGCCACTCGCCACATTGCATGCAGGGCCGAAATGACACTCACCACATTGCACGCAGTGCCGAAATGTAGACACTCACCACATTGCATGCAGTGCCGAAATGTCGCCACTCGCCACATTGCATGCAGGGCCGAAATGTCGACACTCAAGACATTGCATGCAGAGCCGAAATTTTAGACACTCACCACATTGTATGCACTGCCGAAATGTAGACACTCGCCACATTGCATCCAGTGCCGAAATGTAGACACTCAAGACATTGCATGCAGAGCCGAAATGTAGACACTCACCACATTGCATGCAGGAAAGAAATGGCTGCACTCAAGACATTGCATGCAGAGCCGTAATTTTAGACACTCGCCACATTGTATGCAGGGCCGAAATGTAGACACTCGCCACATTGCATGCAGTGCCGAAATGTAGACACTCGCCACATTGCATGCACAGCCGAAATGTAGACACTCACCACATTGCATGCAGTGCCGAAATGTAGACACTCGCCACATTGTATGCAGGGCCGAAATGTAGACACTCACCACATTGCATGCAGTGCCGAAATGTCGCCACTCGCCACATTGCATGCAGGGCCGAAATGACACTCACCACATTGCATGCAGTGCCGAAATGTAGACACTCACCACATTGGATGCAGTGCCGAAATGTCGTCACTCGCCACATTCCATGCAGGGCCGAAATGTCGACACTCACCACATTGTATGCAGTGCCGAAATGTCGACACTCACCACATTGCATGCAGTGCCGAAATGTAGACACTCACCACATTGCATGCAGAGCCGAAATGTAGACACTCACCACATTGTACGCAGAGCCGAAATGTAGACACTCACCACATTGGATGCAGTGCCGAAATGTAGACACTTACCACATTGCATGCAGGGCCGAAATGTCGCCACTCAAGACATTGCATGCAGTGCCGAAATGTCGCCACTCGCCACATTGCATGCAGGGCCGAAATGTCGACACTCACCACATTGCATGCAGGGCCGAAATGTAGACACTCACCACATTGCATGCAGTGCCGAAATCTAGACACTCACCACATTGCATGCAGAGCCGAAATGTAGACACTCACCACATTGCACGCAGAGCCGAAATGTAGACACTCACCACATTGGATGCAGTGCTGAAATGTCGCCACTCGCCACATTGCATGCAGGGCCGAAATGTCGACACTCACAACATTGCATGCAGAGCCGAATGTAGACACTCACCACATTGCATGCAGAGCCGAAATCTAGACACTCACCACATTGCATGCAGAGCCGAAATGTAGACACTCACCACATTGCACGCAGAGCCGAAATGTAGACGCTCCCCACATTGGATGCAGTGCCGAAATGTAGACACTTACCACATTGCATGCAGGGCCGAAATGTCGCCACTCAAGACATTGCATGCAGTGCCGAAATGTAGACGCTCACCACATTGCATGCAGGAAAGAAATGGCTGCACTCAAGACATTGCATGCAGAGCCGTAATTTTAGACACTCACCACATTGTATGCAGTGCCGAAATGTAGACACTCGCCACATTGCATGCAGTGCCGAAATGTAGACACTCACCACATTGCATGCAGAGCCGAAATGTCGACACTCAAGACATTGCATGCAGAGCCGAAATGTAGACACTCACCACATTGCATGCAGGAAAGAAATGGCTGCACTCAAGACATTGCATGCAGAGCCGTAATTTTAGACACTCACCACATTGTATGCAGGAAAGAAATGTAGACACTCGCCACATTGCATGCAGAGCCGAAATGTAGACACTCACCACATTGCATGCAGTGCCGAAATGTAGACACTCGCCACATTGCATGCAGTGCCGAAATGTAGACACTCACCACATTGCATGCAGTGCCGAAATGTCGACACTCAAGACATTGCATGCAGAGCCGAAATGTAGACACTCACCACATTGCATGCAGGAAAGAAATGGCTGCACTCAAGACATTGCATGCAGAGCCGTAATTTTAGACACTCACCACATTGTATGCAGGGCCGAAATGTAGACACTCGCCACATTGCATGCAGTGCCGAAATGTAGACACTCGCCACATTGCATGCAGGGACGAAATGTAGACACTCACCACATTGCATGCAGGGCCGAAATGACACTCACCACATTGCATGCAGAGCCGAAATGTCGCCACTCGCCACATTGCATGCAGGGCCGAAATCTAGACACTCACAACATTGCATGCAGTGCCGAAATGTAGACACTCGCCACATTGCATGTAGTGCCGAAATGTAGACACACGCCACATTGCATGCAGTGCCGAAATGTAGACACTCACCACATTGCATGTAGTGCCGAACTGTAGACACTCGCCACATTGTATGCAGGCCCGAAATGTAGACACTCACCACATTGCATGAAGGCCCGAAATGTCGACGCTCACCACATTGCATGCAGAGCTGAAATGTAAATACTCACCACATTCAGTAAACCTAGAAAAGACGAAAGTTGTCTTTAATAAAGTGTTGTCCTCATCTAAATGAATGGGTGTCATCATATATCTATTTTGGTGCATGTTTTGCAAATAATTTATCTTGGTCAAAACTGTTATAGTGTAACATCCCATCTGTTTTCCATCTTGAAATCACTTTAAGATATAAACCTCTTCCTTATACACTATTTTCCAAAACAAATGGGGTATGGATGAAATTAAAGAAATAGAAGCTGAACACATACTTGATGTAGAAGATCCCTAGCAATCAAATTCTCACGCCGAATCATGTCGCACTTGGAGAATGTTGTAGATATCTATATTATATATTAGCGTTTAAACGTTGTATCAAATATTGGCGTGAAGTAATAACAAATTCAGATTCACAGTATCCATAAAAAGTTATGAAAAGATATATCAGGCATGTAATAATGGAAAAAAACAACTGATAAAGTCAAAGATAAAGTCTCATCTTTAAAAATATGGATTTGGATATTTGAGAAAACCAGAGACTCGAGTCAAGAACAGTAAAGAAATATATCAGAATTTATTTATAGATTAAATTCTACCCATCAACAGGAAGATCCGGGATAGAATAGGTCTTCAGCAACCCATGCTTGCCGTGAAAGGCGACTATGCTTGTCTTAAGAGGCGACTAACGGGATCGGGTGGTCAGGCTCGTTGACTTGGTTGATGCATGTCGTATCCCAATTGCGTGGATCGATGCTCATGATGTCAATCACTGTATTGTCTGGTCCAGACTTGATTATTTACAGATCACCGTCATATAACTGGAATATTGCCGAGAGCCGCGTTAAACAACAAACAAATAAACATCAACAGGACTGGCATGCTCAATTGTGTGTTATTACTAATATGTTTCATTATTCATCGTTCAAGAATCAATTTTCTGTTGAGCCTTATCTAATTGCAGTAAGAATAAGTACATTCAGGTATGCTATTACACAGTTCCGCTGTAGTTCACATCAGTTATTTCTTGAGACAGGTAGATATGTACATGTACCTAGACAGCAAAGACTGTGCAAGGTATGAAATCAAGGCTATGTAGAGACTGAGTACCCTGTTTTGCTCATCTGTAATGTCTAACATGATCTCAGCCAATGAGTTCCAGAAATATTATGTGTGTAGCAGGGCGTTTAGTCATCCCACTGATGACATCCTTACCTTGTCAGCTTGCTGACGGGGTTAACCTCTTTGGTCATGTGGACGAGGCTTCCGACTACTGATCAGAAGGTCCGTGCTTCGAATCCAATCACGGCACTCGGAAATTTTATGGCAGCTACATTCGCGCCCAATGTGGGGCTGAGCACTTTCATATTAAATTTGAGCAAAATAAGTCTCAGTACCCTACTATTCGGCCCGGGACGTGCATTCTGTTGACGGGGAAGTAAATTTAGCGGCCATAAAATGTCCGATTTCTGATCAGAAGTCGGACGCCTTGTCCACATGACCAAAGAGGTTAACCACGTCAGCAAGCTGACAAGGTAAGGATGTCATCTGTGGGATGACTCCGCGCCCTGCGACATGTCCATCCTGGAAACATTTAACATACTCATGTCTACTTCAAATGAAACAATTTCAAGACATTTTACTACCTTTATTTACCACAGAAAGAATGTTTGAAAACTATTATTATGATCTGAAAGTCTAGACGGTGTCATGATGTATGATCGGACTGAGCTGTGTACTGTACTATACAATGTACCATGGGTCGATGGCCTCCTTCTGTACTGAATAAAGAATAAGTGAACTTTAAGTCTTGCATTTGCTTCAGTTTGTGACGGTGCAACAGGTGGGGCAGGATACGCTCACCTTTTCGCGACCACCTGGTATCATCACCTATTAATGGTGATTCATCGACGCTTGCTCATGATATGGTTGGAATTGTGCAATTTTGGTGGACATTTCATATGAATACTAAAATGTTTAATTGTTCTTCAACAATATTTCAATATTTCTGGTATATAATGGTGGTCTGTAAATAATATAATATGGATCAGAGAATCCAGAGCATCGATCAACGCTGTTTGGATACAATGACATGCAATCATCCAAGTCACTGAGTCTGACTGCCCGATCAATTAGGCGATTTAAATGACAATCACAGATTGTGAGGGACCTATATTCCTACCCGGAATGAGAAGAATGTAATCCATGTGGCAAACCGTATGAAGCAAAGTGAAGAATATATTCAACATAATAATGATATCTTTCAGTGTTGCCTCGAGGGGAACCGTGGTAGAATGTGTCCCCAGCACCCTACTGCTTGTCGTAAAAAGGCGAAAAAGTTGGGCCACCCGTTTGCCGTGGGTTGCGCCCCTCTATCGGTGGAAGAAGGTAGTCTGGCACTGGTTCCAAGAGGACGGTTCCTTTGCCCAACACACCACTTTGACCCTAACTTCACCTGGACGGGTGTTAGAATGGGCCCGGTTCTATCAATCGGCTGGTTGCGCCATGCCCTGAGCATGGTAAATTTCAATTTTGAATAAACGCTGATATTCATCATAGTAATTATGGGAAAACATCACATGTTTGAATATTTTATAAACCTGCCTAGAGTCCTATGCCAAAAGGCGGTTCTCATTAGCCAATCTGGCTATAAATCAACCTCCAGGTTATATTTGACTTCAGATTACTGTCAAGACAGAACAAGTCTGACTGTAAATTCTGTTTGTCAAGTTTGCTTGAGTCAGACATCCCTGTATTATTCACCAGCCATCACTCAACCCTGGCGACACAGCACAAATGTCAGAGCTTGAAAGACAGAAATGTTGGCGTTCATATTCACTTATTTCCTTGTAAATAAGAGGGGGAATGGGATTTTAGCTTGAGATCAGCGTTTGTTTCAATGTAAATATCCATGGGTCTGTGTCTGACAGATCGATACAAGGATTTATTTCTTGGCGAATCTGTGATTCGAATTCACAATCAGCAGATCATAGCACGGCGAAGGGATGCAACTGTCGACAGCGGATTATTGGCTTTATACCACAAGGCTTCGCCGAGAAATAATGTTATATACTTTTATGACAATATTAGTTTTGGTTGTTTTGGGTTTGTTTTATGTTTAACGCAGTATTCCAGCTATGTGAGGGCAGTCTGTAGATAATCGAGTCTGGACAAGACAATATAATGATTGACATCATGAACATCGATCTGCGCAATTGGGATATGATGACATGCATCAACAAAGTCACTGATCCTCACCACCCGATCCAGCATGGGTTTGTACAACTTGTTCAAGTCACATTATGGCTGAAATATTGCCGACGTGACGTGAATATTTAACTCACTCTTTCAGGGCTTACTTTCAGTATTATGCATTGAAGGGAGCAAATATGCGTCCTCCTTATGTCGTACACAGTATATAAGTAAATGTGTGAACATAGGCGGTAACGTCACCCTTTCTAGTACTCTTTCTAGTATATCTTTAGAGCTGAGTACGGTGCAGCATCGTTCCTCTTGTACGCTTTATTATTACGTTACTCTAGAAGATAGAAATTTATTAAAATAAAAACATATAAGGTATTTAGGTGAAGGTTGTTAGGCGTGCCGCTGCCCGGTCCCTTGGACCACTGGAAGATGTGTGGTTGGAGACGATTGCCGATACATTACCGCCTGCATATACTTTGTCCCAACATCTTGGGTTGAAAGGAGCTGAGGCATCTAGAACCACTTTGGCAACTCTGATCATCGGACTCACAGCCTTGAAGAGTGGCACCACAAGACCAGCCATCTAGCCAGGAAGAGCCACTCCAACATCTGTGAGGGGTGCAGCTGTCCAGAGAGAGCAGTCCAACACCGAAGTCAGCATCCTTGGCATGGTCGGCAACCCCTCTGAACCTCCTCGTAAGCGTCGTTACCGCCAGATCGACGCCCACCCCGGGTCATTGAAGGAGGACCTGGTCAGCCACCATCTGTCTGACACTGACAATACAGACCATTTGTCGGAACTACTTCATCGTTACTGAACATTGATAGGAATATGTACATTTTAAAATTTTAAACATTTTAACTTAACATGCATAAATACGGTAATGGAACTGATGAGCGGTACTTCTCTGTTCTCGTTCTATTTTCCTGGTACCGGGAGCGGTAAATGTGGTGTCAATGAACCGTGTCTGAGCGCTCACTGGTCCCGGGAACGCTACGAAGAGTTGTCCTCTTAAAAATCACATTTGGCGCTTCCAGACGGACACCGTTGTGTACATTATTCCAAAGTGTCGGCCAACACATACAGTTTGGACGTCGAGCCTCCGAACAGAGACAACATTCATTAACGTTGTTGTGTTTTTTCCATTTCAAACATATCATGCGTATTTACCTTCGCTGACGAACTGGAAGAGGACATAAATGTTCACCAGAAAGACGTTTCAAACTACTCCAGCCATCACTCAACCCAGGTGACACGGCACAAATGACAGAAATGTCAGCGTTCGTAGAAGTGGGAAAGATTTCATATCCACTTTTTTTCCTTGTAAATAAGAGGGAGGAAGGGGTTTTTTTTGGCTTGAGATCAGAGTTTGTTTCAACATGGGCCTGGGCCTGACGGATCGATTCAAGGATTAATATCTTGGCGAATCTGTGATTTGAATTCACAATCAGCGGATCATAGCACGGCGAAGGGATGCAACTTTGAGAGCGGATTATTGCGCTTTATACCACAAGGCTTCATGGAGAAATAAAGTTATATAATTTTATGAAAATATTAGTTTTGTTTGTTTTTGTTTGTTTGTCTGTTTAATTGTTTGTTTAGCGCATTATTCCAGCAATGTGAGGGCAGTCTATTAATAATCGAATCTGAACACGACAATACAGTGATTGACATCATGAACATCGATCTGCGCAATTGGGATGTGATGGCATGCATGAACCAAGTCACTGAGCCTGACCACCCGATCCCGTTATGTTAGCCACCTCTTACGACCTGCATGGGTTGTTGAAGACCAATTGAAAACCGGACCTTCAATGGTGAAAATATTGTTATCTAAACAATGAATCTCAAAATAAATAATATATCTGTCCAACCTACAGCATATTTCACACAATACTGAGAAAACAAGATATTTATAGCCTTTGGCCTTATGGAAAAGCTCGTAAACATTGACGTACGTAGAGGTGTTTGTGCCCAAAAAACAAGATCATGATTCGAACATATTCAGTAAGCACAGCGTATTGATCATGAGGCATTTAAAAAAAGAAAAAAACTATGCAAAATTAACACATTTTATTGTAAAACGATTGATGGACAATATTCAAGACAATACTCAATTTTTGGCAATGAGGCATGACGTGTGATCAACTTTATGTGGATACGACAATATGGCTCTGGTCTACATGGAATTCAAGTAAAGCATGGATTTACTACAGTTACAATGTTAAGGTCTGTTAAAGAAGGCGCCTCTCTTTCTACAGGTTCTCATACACGTCCTCTTGTTCCGGAAGTTGTTTTCGTTACCCCCGCAGCCGCCATAGTGGAACTCCTCGCACCTTCTGGTGGCTTTGTTGTAGTAGAAACGGTGCACCAGCTCTGAACATGTCCCTGCGTCCTTGCTCAGTTCGCAATCTACAGGTGTATAAAAAGAGGAAATTTCTTGTGTCGAATGAAATATCATGTTTCTCTCATCGAGTGATGTGGGAAAGTAGATACTCTCCTTTCCCCCGTTACAAGATGAGAGAAACATAATATTTGACGAGACAGTGGAATAACCTATGTCTTATATACTTATTGTGTAGTTGTCTACCGGATTGTTTTTGTCATTGCAAATGTAAGACGTTGAAACATGTAAATTCACCCTATCTAACACGCAGCGGCGTTTCACCACCCCTTGTAATTGTGACTTCAAAAGTAATTCCGAGTTTGCATTATTTATCGTACATTTGGATATGATATAATACAAAATCAACTTCAACTAAAAATGTTCTTGAAACCTACGAGAAAGTTGTTGGAAGCGAAGGAATACACGCTGGTCGAGTTACAAAAATGGCGCTTTGCGAAACGAGTCTCCATTGACGAGTTAAATGAGAAATGTACAGTTAATGAGATAACATTTTCAAGAGAATAACAAAGGCCAAAAGCGATATTAACTCCATAAATGACCATCTCTTTATATTTTGCATTGTCGATGTGGAACTAACAGTTTATGTACGGGCAAGACAGTTACAATATCGGGAGACACTTAGCGGGGAGGTAACTCTTGTACGACAACAGCTACGTCAAAGTGTTGTGTTTAATGCAGTGAAATATCAAGTGTTATGTTCACTGCAATACAAATATCATTTTTCTCAAATTTAGAAAACTCTTTCACACTAAAGTATAGAATGAAACCACACACGTGGTCATTCAAACACTTGTTATTGCAATACCTTTAATTTGTGAAGAGTGATTGGATGAGCATGATTGTACGCCGCTTTCGGCAATATCCCAACATTTGCACGGCGCATAACAGCAGAAGAATTTCAAACATTTCTTTCATGCAGAGAACTCAACCAAGGTGATTAAAAAGTTTGTTTGTTGTTTAACGCCGCACTCAGTAATATTCCAGCTATATAACGGCGGTCTGAAAATAATCGCAACCAGACAATCAAGTAATTAACATCATGAGCATGGGTCTACGCAGTTGGGATGCGATGACATGCATCAACCAAGTCAACGAGCCTGCCCATCCAAAACCGTTAGTCGCATGAGTTACTGAAGACCAATTCTAACTCGGATCGTCAAAGGGAAAGGAATGACAAGCACGTACAAACAATGACAATACCAGCATGTAACAAACCCTACAAATCCTGCAAAATATATGTAACACAACAACGGTACGTTATGCCTTATGGTTATGAAATTGTGCCTCGTACAGTTGTGAGATCAGATAAATGAAGTTTGAAAATTTAATAATATTCTTATAAATCTATCAATCCGGATAAAACCGGTCCAAGCTCTGGAATCATAGGTATAGAAAAAATATTCATTTTAGAAATAAAGGCGAGGTGTCCAGGCACATGATCAGGTTTTGTGCGGTGTTCAATGTGTTAGGGCAGGAGATGCTCACCCTCTTCGCCAACACCTGGTGTCATCACTGATTTCCAGTGGTCCAATCATATAATTTTCACAGCTATTTTGCCCTTTACGCCAAATGGAATCTGTTATGGAGGATAATCTAGAGTGGATATTCTCTTGCATTGGCAATATTTATATTTCATTTAAATGGTTTTTAACGTCTCTATTGCATGACAGGACCCCGTGTTGCATTAAAATTTTAATAAGACGACAGTAACAGTGTAGATTTGTAAAAGTATGTGATGAGTAATACTATCGTTACGCTACGATCATTTGGAGACGCTGTGCGACTTACCTGCCTGTTCTCTAACACAGCGGGGGAATCGGCCAAACAACACCTTACACACCTTGTCATCTGTACATTTCAATTGCTGAAACACATTATGGGTTACACATTAACCGATAGGAAACCATTGCCTGAACGGACTATGTGGTTCTAATTGATAACTGTCCCCGTCAAAATATGATAAACCCTCAATAGGAGTCACGTTAGGTGAGGTGGTGAATAATTGACTTGCATATGCATGCGTTTGTGACGGGTGCTCCCTTGATGTAGCGAACACATGGTATGTTGATTCATAAACACATCAGTATACTGTAGTCGGAATCGCAGAGCAGCAGAGATTTGGCATGGTTATGAAAAGGGTTTTGACGCTTTTAATAATTCCAAAACAATTTCGTTGACCTGGATTCTGTAACTTCAGAAATTTCAGTCGAAACAAAAGCCAACCCACGGAAGAACAAATATGCCCGCTCTATAGTACTTCCTTCTGATTAGATGCCATTGAAGTAGAGTCCACAAAGTACAGCCTCTTTTATTAGTCTCCATTCGGAACTTCCGTTTAAGTTTTCGAAATACAGAATACCGATAAGTTGTTCCGAATGCTTTCCTTGAAACGAGAATTCAAAATTTGCCAAGTCAGCTGGCTGATTAGAACGTTCATCTGGCGTGACGTCCTGCAGAGGGGTTGTCATATTTTAATGTAGAAAATTATTGCACTCAGCGTCGTGAGGTATGACGCAACTGGGAATCGAACCACCGACTTTCCGCTTATGGAACCAAAAAAGACTTGGCATTAGTGTTACGTGTGGTATGAACGGCAGGGGTTCCCGCTAATACCACAAATAACAATTACAATTAACAATCATAACATTAGATCGACCTCATTCAGTACAACACTTCATTCCAACAAAACAAACCCAGAGGACAACCTCAGTACTTGTGTCCCACCTTGCAAATGATGAAAAATGAAGTAATTAGAACGGCATTCAGAGTAAATATGTCACCTTGATTCTATAATTACATTTCAATTTGCTAAAGAGAGAAGCTACAATTCTACTCACAGCACAGGTGTATTCTGGTCGACGTGGGCACGTACAGTCAGATGGGACGTTGCCAAACCGACACCCCATCAGGCATCAGAAGGGTCGGAATATACGCCCAAAACCACGAAATGGGCGGGGACCTGCCAAAAGCCAATGGTTCTGAAGTCATTACATATATACAGAAAGAACACATTACCACAAATGATCAAGTCGAATGTTCGAAAACACTTAGTACCTCCTGGCACAATATAAAAAAGTAAATCAGTCGATTTCATTCGTAGTACAGACCAATAAACAATATTACCAGACAGATTACATATTTTTAATTGTACAGGAGAAACAACGTTTGTAGGAATTGGAAGTTTTACAAATAACATACTTACTTTTGAATACATGCCACTTTTTGATTGATAGCAACTTCTTTTATTCTTTGTACGACGTTTCAGAGCTACTTTTGGCTCCTTCATCAGCGAATGATAAAGGAACAAAAAGTAGCTCTGAAACGTCGTACAAAGACAAAAGGAAGTTGCTATCCATTAAAATGTGTCATATATTCATGTTCTTCCAACTTCTAAATGCCAATCAAAGTCTACATTTACTGTTATTTACCTTGCCAGTCCATGATCGGAATTGGGGTGGGCGTGTCCACAGAAGATGGCATTGTCGTCATTGATGCATCGTCGCCAGACACCAGAGCAACGCTGACACACGTAAGAATGGTAAACGGTACTATACCGTGTGATGTCATAGTGAATCTGAAAACAATTAAACATTATCAGATTAAATAGTTTTAAAATGTGTTGGGTCGTTATGGGCCAATTGTGTTGAGGTGGGGTGAAATTGGGTTTAATGTCGCGTTCAAAATTATTGCACTTATTGTGAGGTGCATGCACGCGAGTGTGTGACTGCTTGTACTAGTCCGGAATAAATGCCGATTTTATAGTACTAGCCCACTGAGATACCATGCGGCAGTTTTAACATGAATAGCCCACTCAGACAGTTTACTGACTCCGAGCCGACCATTCCTTGTTTTAGTCCCTTAAAGCCGAGCGCCAGGCAGGGTAACAACAAATGCCATCTTTCAACGGCTTTTGGTACATATGTATGTACCTGTAAGAACAACAAAAGTAATAAGATAACAAAGGTGGAAACTTAAGAAGGGATGACAACAGTTGATTGACGCTAACAGGTGATTAGTAATCGATAAATGGTATCCAACACTTTGCAGTTCTCTGCTCCATAGCATTTCGTCACCCGATGAAGGAGTAAGTATATACTCCCAAACGTTTTGTTCCTCATAATAAAGAGGTTGGCATCTATAAATTCTCTTCCCTATAAAAAGTAAGGAATAAGTTTTGTTCCTTGTACGTATGTATTAATCATAACTCGTGCGACATTGACTTTAGAAGTAATAAATGCACAAAGAATGACAATTGTTATACTTACATCAGACCAGTGGTGTTAACGAATATTATATTCTTGTGTGGTGACCTTTCCTGATGACCGTCCACTCTCTTATTATATAGACACACGTGTAACGTCATGCCTGACCTAGTTCTCATTTATCATACACAATATGTCATATTTTATCTCTTTCACGCCATGCAGAACCTGCTTCGTGACGTCACAAAAGACAGGATAAACAAACCGCGGTGTAATTACCCATGATGCGTCACGCTCAATATGCACATTTTATGCATGTGAATTACTATTACCATTGCCAGGAGCATGTCGTGGTTTGCTGGTTGATCAACAAGTTGTTTGAGTGACATGTATTCCGCAGTATACATAATTTTATGGATGCAGAAACACTTGTATCGTGATATGTAAATATTACCTTTTTGTGTTTGTGAATCACGCCATAAACAAGAGATCCGTGTTTTATAATGTTGGAGAATATATGCGACATAACGATACCATTAATCTTGTATATGATGTGTAATTGTTTTGTAAGAACAGTGGCACATACATTTAACATTAAAAGCTAGGTGAGGAGAAATGGGGTTACACGTCGCGTCTAATATCGTTGCAATTTCACGGCGACATGCATGCCTGTGTGTGTGTGTGTGTGTGTGTGTGTGCGTGCGTGCGTGCGTGCGTGCGTGCGTGCGTGCGTGCGTGCGTGCGTGCGTGTGTGTGTGTGTGTGTGTGTGTGTGTGTGTGTGTGTGTGTGTGTGTGTGTGTGTGTGTGTGTGCTTGTACTATTTCGGAGTAATGCCGAGTTTATATTGCTAGCACACTGTGATATCATGCCGTAGTTGAACTTGAATACACAGCATACTCGGACTCGGAGTCGAGCAGTCCTTATTTTAGCCCCTCAATGCAGAGCGAAAGGCAGGGTAACAACAAGTACCTTCGTTTAACGTCTTTCGGTTTCACGCGGTCGGGGATCGAATCCCTGATCTTCCGCTCTCCGGGCAGACGCTCCACGAGACCACGGAGGCGGTCTTTTTAATGTTTAACTAACACACAACATGTGTATGGTTTTAGTATATGACAATTAATAAGTAACATAATGATAAATATAATAATTAACATAAACCACGGTACTTATAATGAGAGGGCACTAGTGACCATGAAGTCAAAGGCGACGCAATTCGCTGTGAAGGGTTGAGCCAAGGGGCTCTTCTGGCCTTATGTTCCTCGAGGGATGATACGTATGTTTTCCTGTATGTCGAGTACTATTTCAGCAGCACCTGCCTTTGGTGTCTTCATTTCACAACTTTTGACATGCAATCAAGCATGCTCTTTGTATGAATACAGCGTCATTCTGTTCTTGTTCAAAAGTTGTTGGATCAGGGTTACAATATTCAATGCCTCAGTACGGCCTTCAGCACGTTTTACGACCAACATGTGGAGGAAATTTCCAAATATGATGCATGAGTGGCTATTGTGATGTTTGGTGCAATTCTATATTTTGGCGTACACCATTACCGTGTGTGTTTTAGGTGAACAATTGACATTCCTTTGCGTGTGTTAGTGACGGGTGTTCCCGATGGGGCAGCATACGTTCACCTTCACGTATAATCACTATTTGATAGATTCATAAGCACATGTTAATTATATATTCGTACACGGCACTGGGATCTCTTTAGGCGGCAATGCTTGTCGTAAAAGTCTGGTCCAGACTCGCTTATTTTACAGACCGCCGTCATATAGCTGGAATATTGCTGAGTGCGGCGTTAAACAACAAACAAACAAATATGATTAAGAAAGGGTTGTGAGAAACATGATCATAAACTGCCCTTTTAAGGCGCTTCAACAGACCCGTTCCTACCGTCGATTCACTAATCCAGCTGCGCTTATAAGTGTAAAGATTGATGTAACAAAACAATATCACTATCAACTTTTGCCCTGGATCTCTATATAAAGCTCCAGGAGAGATGTATTGTAGGGTCTAGCAAATGTACCCACAAATTCTTGTCGCAAAAGATCAACCCTAACTCTTAGATTGACTGACTGACTGAGTATGGTTTTACGCCGCTTTTAGCAAATTTCCAGCAATATCACGGCAGGGGACACCAGAAATGGGCTTCACACATTGTACCCATGTCGGGAATCGAACCCGGGTCTTCGGCGTGACGAGCAAACGCTTTAACCACTAGGCTATCCGACCGCCGCCTAACTCTTAGAACAATCAAAGATGGTATTTTTGTTCCTGGAATCCTGGCAACGTATTTTATAGCGGCAATGAAAAAGGGAAAGCTTTGGTTACGGCAATAGCAAATGTGACGACCATGTCATAGCGCTTACATTTATCGGATCGGCATTGTTGGCCACGATGTTAATAACAGAGGACACGGAAATGACAAGTGAGTGAGTGAGTTTAGTTTAACGCCGCTTTGAACAGATTTCCAGTTGTACAACGACGTATCAGCTTATTGTGGGTGGAAAGCCACTGGGTGATGCAGGTCTCAGACGTTTACCACTTCGGTGAAAGCCATGAGCACGGGTATGGTGATGAAAAACTTAGAAACATAATCTGGACGAACCGGGATTCGAACCCACAGTCATAGGTTTCTGGTGTGTCATAGAGACGCAAATCTGCACAGCGAATTGCGGCGCCTTAAACGACGGGGCCACCCCTGCCCCCTCTTGAAAATAGATTTCACACTATTTTTAGCAAAATTTACTAATTTGTATCCTACTACACATCAACATGAATGTACAAATCCATTTCTAAATGAGAGTATAATCTGTTGCTATCATGCGTTTTACGGTATGAAAGATATATATGCCTCTTTACGAAATAACTGATCGACCTGATAGCAACTGGCCAGTCCTTTGAAAGTTAGCATGTGTGACAACATTTAATACTGGGAACCTTAAATGTACAAAAGTGGAGAGTGAGTGATCTGGGCTTAATGCAGTTACACAACGCCCTGTCAGCTTCCGTGTAATGTTGGGGAAAGCCCTGTTGTTGCTTATTCTTCCATGAATCCCCAACAATTAAAAGAATTCTCAAATGTCCAAGGTGGACATGCCCGATTACTATTACAGATAGACGTGTATTTAATGTACCAGGCTGTGTTTGAATTGCGTATGTGAGTGAATGGATTTAACGCCGCTTTAAACAGTATGCCGTTTATATAACGGTATAAGTGATGCAGGCCTCAGACGTTTTAAATTACCACTTTGATGAAACACATGAGTATTGGTATGGTACTGACAAACGTTCGGCGACCTGGCCAACCGTTCCCCCACAAAGGGGGATAAACGATGTCAATAGTATTGATTTAGACCTGCGGTTATAATACACTGGACATCTAAAGCTGATAACTGACCAGTATGACGTCCAGCCAAGGCATTTACTCTCCTTTCGGTTTTTGATAGGACACTGTGTGGCCTGTGGCAGCTCATTTCAATGCAAGTGTAACGGTTTTAAGCTTTCACTTTCGTCGAGAGCCCCGATCTAAATAATTTACTCCACAAACAGTTGATTGTGATCTTCCACCTTAACCAATGCTAGAAAATCTCTTAGAATCAACGAACCTTCAACTATCCTTGTCCTTTTTGTTTTGTTTGTTTGTTGTTTAACGCCGATCTCAGCTATCCTTATCTGACAAAATGATGAAGATATCGCCATAAAAATTTCTCCAAATATCAGTTAATGGCCGGACCTATCGTCAAACATCTATTAAGCGTCATAGCTCTCGATAATTAACAACAAAAGGATTGTCGACAAAGATTGAAAGATAGGGAAAAGTATTTATTCAAGATTGCAGGACATTCATTCTTGATTACGCTCGATGGGAAACTGCTTCACCTGAAAGTAAAAGCATACGTTTAGTACGTTATCCGGCTGTACATCATCAGTACGGATCTGAGGACCACAATGGATGTGTGGTGGTATAACGGTAAGATTTCTAACCCCAAAATATAGCTGATATTCTTGTCATGGTACACCGTTAAGCCTTTATTCTATCGACCACCTGTAATACAGACTCTATTACTCACAAGCCACCGTGATTGGGCTGCATATTTGCTGATTATATGATTTAATGAACCATTTAATGGGGGAGGGGAGAATTATCCAAGAATATGTTTGAAAATTGTATCATGCTTCTGAGTGTTGACAAAAAAAACATTGTTGGAAGATGTTTGGGGTTTATTTTAAAAAAGTTCTTTAGGCTAAATTTTCATTGAGGACTGGTCAGTCCGTTATGTTTGCAACATCCCCAACATGTACAGGATAATGGATAATGGATACTGACTGCATAATGGTACATGCTCTGACCACTTTGTACCATCACATGTACCAGTACAATTTAGCCTTTCGAACCGACATGACAAGAAGCAATATTGCCCTTTTACCCTCTGGTATTAATTGTGCATGTGTTCAATGCATCCATGCTTATTTGAATATAAATTGCTGCTTTGCCGGCATGTCCTTTTAAAGGTAGGAAATATAGATTCAACAAGTTTATGAAAAAGGTTCGTCGCGTTTATTTTCAAACAACAGTCAACTGTCACATTCATATAACTTACATTTAGAAAGATGCGCTGGAAGAGCATTTGTTCGACCTCAGTTAAAGTTGCCGTTACGCGTCGCCATTGCCATTGCCGTTGCCATTGTCGTTACCGTTGTCGTTACCGTTGCCGTTGCCATTGCCGTTACCGTTGTTGTTCGAGTCATCATATTTGTCATCATTGTTCCCTTCGTCACATTCTCCATTACCGTTGTCATCGTTGCCATTTCCATTGCCGTTCTCACCGTTGCCATTGCCGTTGCCATTGCCGTTGCCGTTCTCATCTTTGCCTTTGCACCTCCTTTTACTAGGAGCGCTTAGGGCGACAGCGCAAACACATGCCAAGACAAGGAGAAATACGGCGAACTTCATGTCTGCTGTTCAAATAGCTGTAAGAAAGACTCTTCAATGTCATTCATATGCTGATCAAACCTTGTTAAGACTTACCATCAAACCCTCACTACCTCTCATTGCCGTGATTTTATTGACAAACAAGTGACAAACAACATGAATGACTTTTAATCAAGTATAATTAGATTCCTTCATCCTGCATGCTAGTTTATGACAGTAAGTGAGTATGGTTTTCGCCGCTTTTAGAAATATTCCAGTAATATCAAGGCGGGGGACACGAGAAATAGGCTTCACATATTGTACCCATGTGGGGAATCGAACCCAGGCCTTCGGCGTGACGAGCGTACGCTTTAACCACAAGACAACCCCACCGCCCCTTATAACAGTAAACACAGACACCACTATTTGAAGTATCCCCGTATTCGCATCTCTCAGACACGAGTTCCAAAACACGGACCTAACAAATTCATAGATATCGACAATCTGGAGTCATTGCATTGACTTCTTTTTTCTTGCTATGCGACATTTCGTTACTTTGCATGGGAAGACTAATTAAAGAAATTGAAATTCATAATGATATCAGTCAGCTTCAGTGAGGCGTCGCGTTCAAGCTTATTGCACTTATAAAGCGATATGCATGCACGTGTGCGTGTGAGGAAGGGTGCGGTGCGCTTGTGATAATCCGGACTAATGCTGGTGTTATAGTTCTAGCCCGCTGAGACACCATACTGCATTTTCAGATTGATTACACAACTCAGTCTGACTCTACACTGACTCCGAGCTGACCACTGTCATTTTTTTCCCCTGAATGACGAGGGCCAAGCAGGTTAACTACAACTACCATCTTTTAACAAGTACCATATTGGATAATTCTCAATTCGCTGTACTGAGCGAAGTCCCTTGGGCACATCAGAAACCTATGATTGTGGTTTTGAATACCAGTTCGCCCCGATTATGTTTCTAGGTTTGTCAGCACCATACCCGTGCTCGTGGGTTTTACCAAAGTGGTAAACGTCTGAGACCTGCATCACTTTCCTCCCACAGCAAGACACGCGTTAAACCTAACTCACTCATTCACTCTCTAATCATCGCCAACTAACAGTGAGGGCAGCACGTGTTCGGCTGAGCATGTCCTGTTCAACTGACAACACTGTCAGTGCGTATGGTTAGCATAAAAAAAGCAAGACCAATGCTTTACTAAGATTTGTTAATGCTGTACTAATATTTACTAATGGTTTACGAAGATATACTAATGGTTGAACATGTTAAAACTGTACTTACAATTTCACTACAGATCAGATCGGACACAGTTGCGGGAGAAGTGCGGGATGCAAGGCTGTCGAACAGCCCCTCTTTATACCTGTTGTTGGTTTTCCACGTGACTGATTATGATGCATGGCGAGGTAGTTTTCCGGAATGGGTTTAACTTTGTCAATCCGTCATCTTCTAAAATAGGACTCTCGTGCCCTAGATCATTTCTGACAACCGGCAAGAAAAAAATGCTAATTATATATTTGGTTTCATCCTGTTGTATTGTTTTTATCCCCAAAGACGAGTACGACAGGGCACGTAGACACTCACCACATTGCATACAGGGCCGTAATATCGCCACTCGCCACATTGCATGCAGGGCCGAAATGTCGCCACTCACCACATTGCATGAAGAGCCGAAATGTAGTCACTCACCACATTGCATGCAGGGCCGAAATGTAGACGCTTACCACATTGCATGCAGGGCCGAAATGTAGACACTCACCACAGTGCATGCAGGGCCGAAATGTAGACACTTAAGACATCGCATGCAGAGCCGAAATGTAGACACTCCGCATATTGCATGCAGAGCCGAAATGTCGACTCTCACCTCATTGCATGCAGAGCCGAAATGTCGACACTCACCATATTGCATGCAGAGCCGAAATGTCGACTCTCACCACATTGCATGCAGAGCCGAAATGTCGACACTCACCACATTGCATGCAGAGCCGAAATGTCGACACTCACCATATTGCATGCAGAGCCGAAAAGTCGCCACTCGCCACATTGCATGCAGAGCCGAAAAGTCGCCACTCGCCACATTGCATGCAGGGCCGAAATGTCGACACTCACCACATTGCAGGCAGAGCCGAAAAGTCGCCACTCGCCACATTGCATGCAGGGCCGAAATGTCGACACTCACCACATTGCATGCAGGGACGACATGTAGACACTTACCAGTATGCATGCAGTGCCGAAATGTAGACACTCAGCACATTGCATGCAGGGCCGAAATGTCGACGCTCACCACATTGCATGCAGGGCCGACATGTTGACACTCACCACATTGCATGCAGTGCCGAAATGTAGACACTAGTCACTTTGCATGCAGGGCCGAAATGTCGCCACCTGCCACATTGCATGCAGTGCCGAAATGTCGCCACTCGCCACATTGCATGCAGTGCCGAAATGTCGCCACTCGCTATATTGCATGCAGGGCCAAAATGTACACGCTCACCACATTGCATGCAGGGCCGAAATGTAGATGCTTACCACATTGCATGCACTATGCATAATTTTATGGATGCAGAAATACTTGCATCGTGATACATAAATATTATCTTTTTGTGTTTGTGAATCACGCCGTAAACAAGATGTTGGAGAATATATGCGACATAACCATTTCTTGTATATGATGTGTTATTGTTTTGTAAGATCAGTGGCACATACATTTTACATTTAAAGCTAGGTGCGGAGAAATGTGGTTACACGTCGCGCTTAATATCGTTGCAATTTCATGGCGACATGCATGCCTGTGTGTGTGTGTGTGTGTGTGTGTGTGTGTGTGTGTGTGTGTGTGTGTGTGTGTGTGTGTGTGTGTGTGTGTGTGTGTGTGTGTGTGTATTGGTGTGTGTGTATTGGTGTGTGTGTGTGTGTGTGTATTGGTGTGTGTGTGTATTGGTGTGTGTGTGTGTTGGTGTGTGTGTTTGCTTGTACTATTTCGGAGTAATGCCGAGTTAATATTGCTAGCACACTGTGATACCACGTCGTAGTTGAACATGAATACACAGCATACTCGGACTTGTAGTCGAGCAGTCCTTATTTTAGCCCCTTAATGAAGAGCGAAAGGCAGGGTAACAACAAGTACCTTCGTTTAACGTATTTCGGTATCACGCGGTCGGGGATCGAATCCCTGATCTTCCGCTCTCCGGGCTGACGCTCCACTAGACTACGGAGGCGGTCGTTATAGTGCTAAACTAACACACACCATGTGTATGGTTTTAGTATATGACAATTAATAAGTAACATAATGATAAATATAATAATTAACATAAACCACGGTAGTTATAATGAGAGGGCACTAGTGACCATGCAGTCAAAGACGACGCAATTCGCTGTGAAGGGTTTAGCCAAGGGGCTCTTCTGGCCTTATGTTCCTCGAGGGATGATACGTATGTTTTCCTGTATGTCGAGTACTATTTCTGCAGCACCTGCCTTTGGTGTCTTCATTTCATAACTTTTGACATGCAATCAAGCATGCTCTTTCTATGAATACAGCGTCATTCGGTTCTTGTTCAAAAGTTGTTGGATCAGGGTTACAATATTCAATGCCTCAGTACGGCCTTCAACACGTTTTACGACCAACATGTGGAGGAAATTTCCAAATATGATGCATGGGTGGCTATTGTGATGTTTGGTGCAATTCTATATTTTGGCGTACACCATTACCGTGTGTGTTTTAGGTAAAACATGGACATTCCTTTGCGAGTGTTAGTGACGGGTGTTCCCCGATGGGGCAGCATACGTTCACCTTCACGTATAATCACTATTTGATAGATTCATAAGCACATGTTAATTATATATTCGTACACGGCACTGGGATCTCTTTAGGCGGCAATGCTTGTTGTAAAAGGCTACTAACGGGATCGGGTGATCAGGCTCGCTGACTTGGTTGATACATGTCATCTATCCCAATTGTGTAGATGGTTGCTCATGATGTCAATCACTTGATTGTCTGGACCAGACTCGATTATTTTACAGACCGCCGTCATATAGCTGGAATATTGCTGAGTGTGGCGTTAAACAACAAACAAACAAATATGATTAAGAAAGGGTTGTGAGAAACATGATCATAAACTGCCCTTTTAAGGCGCTTCAACAGACCCGTTCCTACCGTCGATTCACTTATCCAGTTGTGCTTATAAGTGTAAAGATTGATGTAACAAAACAATATCACTATCAACTTTTGGCCTGGATCGCTATATAAAGCTCCATAACACTCCGTACCAGGAGAGATGTATTGTAGGGTCTAGCAAATGTACCAACAAATTCTTGTACCAACAAATGTAACCCTAACTCTTAGAACAATCAAGGAAGGTCTTTTTGTTCCTGGAATCCTGGCAACGCACACATATGAGAATATTGTAATGTCAATGGAAAAGGGAAAGCTTTGGTTACGGCAATAGCAAGTGTGACGACCATGTTATAGCGCTCACATTTATTGGATCGGCATTGTTGGCCACGATGTTAATAACAGAGAACACGGAAAGTGAGTGAGTGAGTGAGTTTAGTTTAATGCCTCTTTAAACAGACTTCCAGTTCTACATCGACGTGTCAGCTTATTGTGGGAGGAAAGCCACGAAGTGATGCAGGTCTCAAACGTTTACCACTTCGGTGAAAGCCACGAGCACGGGTATGGTGGTGAAAAACCTAGAAACATAATCTGGACGAACCGGGATTCGAACCCACAGTCAGAAAGAATTCTCAAATGTCCAAGGTGGACATGCCCGATTACTAATACAGATAGACGTGTATTTAATGTATCAGGTTGTGTTTGATTTGCGTAAGTGAGTGAATGGATTTAACGCCGCTTTGAACAGTATGCCGTTTCTATAACGGTATAAGTGATGCAAGCCTCAGTCGTTTTAAATTACCACTTTGATGAAACCCCTGAGAATTCCTATGGTACTGACAAACCTTAGACGTCCAGCCAAGGCATTTACTCTCCTTTCGGTTTTTCATAGGCCACTGTGTGGCGTGTGGCAGCTCACTGTAATGTAAGTGTTACGGTTTTAAACTTTCAATTTCGTCGAGAGCCCCGATCTAAATAATTTACTCCACAAACAATTGTTTGTGATCTTCCACCTTAACCAATGTAGAAAATCTCTCAGAATCCTTGAACCTTCAACTATCCTTGTCCTTTTTGTTTTGTTTGTTTGTTGTTTAACGCCGATCTCAGCTATCCTTATCTGACAAAATGATGAAGATATCGCCATAATAATTTCCCGAATATCAGTTAATGGCCGGACCTATCGTCAAACATCTATTAAGCGTCATAGCTCTCGATAATTAACAACAAAAGGATTGTCGACAAAGATTGAAAGATAGGGAAAAGTATTTATTCAAGATTGCAAGACATTCATTCATGATTACGCTCGCTCGGAAACTGCTTCACCTGAAAGTAAAAGAATACGTTTAGTACGTTATCCGACTGTACATCATCAGTACGGATCTGAGGATCACACTGGATGTGTGGTGGTATAATGGTTGGATTTCTCACCACAATATATAACTGATATTTTCGTCATTGCAAACCGTTAAGCCTTCATTCTATCGACCCCGGTTATAGAGACTCAATTACTCACAGGCCACCGTGATAGGGCTGCATATTTGCTGATTACATGATTTAATGAACCATTTAATGGGGGGAGGGGGAGTGGAGAATTAACCCAGAATATGTTTGAAAAATAGAATTATGCTTCAGACTGTTGACAAAAAATATGTCGTTGCAAAAAAGTTCTTTGGGTCAATTTTCATTGAGGACTGGTCAATCCGTTATGTTTGCAACATCCCCAACAGGTATAGGAGTTGAGATAATGGATAATTGATACTGATTGCATAATGGTTCATGCTCTGACCACTTTGTACCATCACATGTACCAGTACAATTTAGCCTTTCGAACCGACATGACAAGAAGCAATGTTGCCCTTTTACCCTCTGGCGTGAATTGTGCATGTGTTCAATGCATCCATGCTTATCTAAATATAAATTGCTGCTTTGCCGGCATGTCATTTCAAAGGTAGGAAATATAAATTCAAGTTTATGGAAAAGGTTCGTCAAACAAAAACAGTTACCTTAAAGGGTATGTCACATTCATATAACTTACATTTAGAAAGATGCGCTGGAAGAGCATTTGTTCGACCGCAGTTAACGTTGCCGTTACCTGCCGCCATTGCCATTGCCGTTGCCGTTGCCATTGCCGTTACGGTCGTCATTGCCATTGCCGTTGCCACTGCCGTTACCGTCGTCATTGCCATTGCCGTTACCCTTGTCGTTGCCATTGCCGTTACCGTCGTCATTGCCATTGCCGTTGCTGTTGCCATTGCCGTTACCCTTGCCGTTGCCATTGCCGTTACCCTTGCCATTCCCGTAACCGTCGTCATTGCCATTGCCGTTACCCTTGCCGTTGCCATTGCCGTTGCCATTGCCGTTACGGTCGTCATTGCCATCGCCGTTTATATTGCCATTGCCGTTACCGTTGCCGTTACCATTGCCGTTACCCTTGCCGTTACCGTCGTCATTGCCATTGCCGTTACCCTTGCCGTTGCCATTGCCGTTACGGTCGTCATTGCCATTGCCGTTACCCTTGCCGTTACCATTGCCGTTACGGTCGTCATTGCCATTGCCGTTACCGTTGCCGTTGCCGTTGCCGTAACCGTTGCCATTGCCATTGCCGTTACTGTCGTCATTGCCATTGCCGTTACCGTTGCCGTTGCCATTGCCGTTACGGTCGTCATTGCCATTGCCGTTACCCTTGCCGTTGCCATTGCCGTAACGGTCGTCATTGCCATTGCCATTACCGTTGCCGTTACCATTGCCGTTACGGTCGTCATTACCATTGCCGTTACCGTTGCCGTTGCCATTGCCGTTACGGTCGTCATTGCCATTGCCGTTACCGTTGCCGTTCCCTTTGCCGTTACGGTCGTCATTGCCATTGCCGTTACTCTTGCCGTTGCCATTGCCGTTACCCTTGCCATTGCCGTTACCGTCGTCATTGCCATTGCCGTTACCGTTGCCGTTGCCATTGCCATTGCCGTTGCCGTTACCCTTGCCGTTACGGTCGTTATTGCCATTGCCGTTACCCTTGCCGTTGCCATTGCCGTTACGGTCGTCATTGCCATTGTCGTTACCGTTGCCGTTGTCATTGCCGTTACCGTCGTAATTGCCATCGCCGTTACCTATGCCATTGCTGTTACCGTTGCCGTTGCCATTGCCGTTACGGTCGTCATTGCCATCGCCGTTACTCTTGCCGTTGCCATTGCCGTTACCCTTGCCATTGCCGTTACCGTCGTCATTGCCATTGCCGTTGCCGTTACCCTTGCCGTTGCCATTGCCGTTAACGTCGTCATTGCCATTGCCGTTACCGTTGCCGTTGCCATTGTCATTGCCGTTACCGTCGTAATTGCCATCGCCGTTACCTATGCCATTGCTGTTACCGTTGCCGTTGCCATTGCCGTTACGGTCGTCATTGCCATCGCCGTTACTCTTGCCGTTGCCATTGCCGTTACCCTTGCCATTGCCGTTACCGTCGTCATTGCCATTGCCGTTGCCGTTACCGTTGCCGTTGCCGTTACCGTTGCCGTTGCCATTGCCGTTGCCGTTCCCATTGCCGTTACGGTCGTCATTGCCATTGCCGTTACCCTTGCCGTTGCCCTTGCCGTTACGGTCGTCATTGCCATTGCCGTTACCCCTGCCGTTGCCATTGCCGTTACGGTCGTCATTGCCATTGCCGTTACCCTTGCCGTTGCCATTGCCGTTACCGTCGTCATTGCCATTGCCGTTACCCTTGCCGTTGCCATTGCCGTTACGGTCGTCATTGCCATTGCCGTTACCATTGCCATTGTCGTTACCCTTGCCGTTGCCATTGCCGTTACCGTCACCATTGCCGTTACCGTCGTCATTGCCATTGCCGTTACCGTTGCCGTTGCCATTGCCGTTACGGTCGTCATTGCCATTGCCGTTACCCTTGCCGTTGCCATTGCCGTTACGGTCGTCATTGCCATTGCCGTTACCCTTGCCGTTGCCATTGCCGTTACCGTCGTCATTGCCATTGCCGTTACCGTTGCCATTGCCGTTACCGTTGCCGTTACCATTGCCGTTACGGTCGTGTTTGCCATTGCCGTTACCGTTGCCGTTGCCATTGCCGTTACGGTCGTCATTGCCATTGCCGTTACTCTTGCCGTTGCCATTGCCGTTACGGTCGTCATTGCCATTGCCGTTACCCTTGCCGTTGCCATTGCCGTTACCGTCGTCATTGCCATTGCCGTTACCCTTGCCGTTGTCATTGCCGTTACGGTCGTCATTGCCATTGCCGTTACCATTGCCATTGTCGTTACCGTTGCCGTTGCCATTGCCGTTACCGTTACCATTGCCGTTACCGTCGTCATTGCCATTGCCGTTACCGTTGCCGTTGCCATTGCCGTTACCGTCGTCATTGCCATTGCCGTTACCCTTGCCGTTGCCCTTGCCGTTACGGTCGTCATTGCCATTGCCGTTACCCTTGCCGTTGCCATTGCCCTTACCGTCGTCATTGCCATTGCCGTTACCGTTGCCATTGCCGTTACCGTTGCCGTTTTCATTGCCGTTACGGTCGTCATTGCCATTGCCGTTACCGTTGCCGTTGCCATTGCCGTTACGGTCGTCATTACCATTGCCGTTACTCTTGCCGTTGCCATTGCCGTTACGGTCGTCATTGCCATTGCCGTTACCCTTGCCGTTGCCATTGCCGTTACCGTCGTCATTGCCATTGCCGTTACCCTTGCCGTTGCCATTGCCGTTACGGTCGTCATTGCCATTGCCGTTACCATTGCCATTGTCGTTACCCTTGCCGTTGCCATTGCCGTTACCGTTGCCATTGCCGTCACCGTTGTCTTTACCTTTGCCATTGCCGTTACCGTTGTTGTTCGAGTCATCAGCTTTGTCATCATTGTTCCCTTCGTCACATTCTCCATTGCCGTTCTCACCTTTGCCTTTGCACCTCCTTTTACTAGGAGCGCTTAGGGCGACAGCACAAACACATGCCAAGACAAGGAGAAATACGGCGAACTTCATGTCTGCTGTTCAAATAGCTGTAAGAAAGACTCTTCAATATCATTCATGTGCTGATCAAATCTTGTTAAGTCTTGCCATCAAACCCTCACTACCTCTCATTGCGATGATTTAATTGACAAACAAGTGACAAATAACATGAATGACTTATATTTAAGACATCGTTTACATTTAATCAAGTTTAATTAGATTCCTTCATCCTGCATGCTAGTTTATGGCAGTAAGTGAGTATGGTTTTTCGCCGCTTTTAGAAATATTCCAGCAATATCAAGGCGCTTTAACCACAAGACAACCCCACCGCCACTTATAACAGTAAACACAGACACCACTATTTGAAGTATCCCCGTATTCGCATCTCTCAGACACGAGTTCCAAAACAAGGACCTGACAAATTCATAGATATCTACAATCTGGAATCATTGCATTGACTTTTTTTTTTCTTGCTATGCGACATTTCGTTACTTTGCATGGGAAGACTAATTAAAGAAATTGAAATCCATAATGATATAAGTCAGCCTCAGTGAGGCTTCGCGTTCAAGCTTATTGCACTTATAAAGCGATATGCATGCACGTGTGCGTGTCTGGAAGGGTGTGGTGCGCTTGTGATAATCCGGACTAATGCTGGTGTTATAGTTCTGGCCCACTGAGATACCATGCTGCATTTTCAGATTGATTACCCAACTCAGTCACAGTATACTGACTCCGAGTTGACCACTGTCATTTTGTCCCCTGAATGACGAGGGGCAGGCAGGTTAACTACAACTACCATCTTTTAACAAGTACCATCTTCCTTGGGTAAGACCCGCTCAAGGGATCGAACTACCGACCTTCCGATCTCCCACCGGACGCTCCATCCACTAGACCACGGAGGATGCCCACTGTCAATGCAGACAAGATTAGCATATGGATAATTCGCAATTCGCTGTACTGAGCGAAGTCCCTTGAGCACAACAGAAACCTATGATTGTGTTTCGAATACCAGTTCGTCCCAATTATGTTTCTAGGTTTGTCAGCATCATACCCGTACTCTTCGGTTTCACCAGAGTGCTAAACATCTGAGACCTGCATCACTTTCCTTCCACACTAAGACACGCGTTAAACCCAACTCACTTATTCACTCTTAAATCATTGCCTACTAACAGTGAGGGCAGCACGTGTTCGGCTGAGCATGTCCTGTTCAACTGATAACACTGTCAGTGCGTATGGTTAGCGTAAAAAAAGCAATACTTACCAATGCTTTACTAAGATTTGCTTATGCTCTACTAAGACCACTTTTGGTTTACAAAGATATACTAATGGTTGAACATGTTAAAACTGTACTTACAATTTCACTACAGATCAGATCGGACACAGTTGCCGGAGAAGTGCGGGATGCAAGGATACCTAACTGATCCCCCTTTATACCTTTTGTTGGTTTTCCACGTGACTGGTTACGGCGATATTTTTCTTACAAAAATGACATATTTTGTGGATAAATGGCGTCTTTATTTTGTGCAACAGCGACATTTAAGGGTCTGTACTGAAACCATGCTATTGTAGCAAAATAAAGAAGTAGTTTTCTATAAATGGTTTTAAACTTGTCTATCCGACATCTACTAAAATAGGCTCTAGATCATTTCTGACAACCGGCAAGAACATAATTCTATTTGGAAGGTTTCATCCTGTGGTTCATTGCTTTTACCCACAAAGACGAGTACGACGGCACGTAGACGCTTACCACATTGCATGCAGTGCCGAAATGACACTCGCCATATTGCATGCAGGGCCGAAATGATACTCACCACATTGCATGCAGGGCCGAAATGACTCTCGCCACATTGCATGCAGTGCCGAAATGACACTCGCCACATTGCATGCAGAGCCGAAATGTCGACACTCGCCACATCGCATGCAGGGCCGAAATGTAGACACTCACCACATTGCATGCAGTGCCGAAATGTAGACACTCGCCACATTGCATGCAGTGACGAAATGTCGCCACTCACCACATTGCATGCAGTGCCGAAATGTCGCAACTCACCACATTGCATGCAGTGCCGAAATGACACTCACCACATTGCATGCAGTGCCGAAATGTAGACACTCGCCACATTGCATGCAGTGCCGAAACGTAGACACTCACCACATTGCATGCATGGTCGAAATGTAGACACTCGCCACATTGCATGCACAGGCGAAATGTAAATACTTGCCACATTCAGTAAACCTAGAAAAGACTAAAGCTGTCTTTAATAAAGTATGGTCCTCATCTAAATGAATGGGTGTCATCATATATATTTTTGGGTGCATGTTTTGCAAATAATTTATCTTGGTCAAAACTGTTATAGTGTAACATCCCATCTGTTTTCCATCTTGAAATCACATTAGGATATAAACCTCTTCCTTATACACTATTTTCCAAAACAAATGGGGTATGGATGATATAAAAGAAATAGAAGCTGAACACATACTTGATGTAGAAGATCCCTAGCAATCAAATTCTCACGCCGAATCATGTCGCACTTGGAGAATGTGGTAGATATCTATATTATATATTAGCGTTTAAACGTTGTATCAAATATTGGCGTGAAGTAATAACAAATTCAGATTCACAGTATCCATAAAAGTTATGAAAGGATATATCAGGCATGTAATAATGGAAAAAAACAACTGATAAAGTCAAAGATAAAGTCTCATCTTTAAAAATATGGATTTGGATATTTGAGAAAACCAGAGACTCGAGTCAAGAACAGTAAAGAAATATATCAGAATTTATTTATAGATTAAATACTACCCATCAACAGGAAGATCCGGGATAGAATAGGTCTTCAGCAACCCATGCTTGCCGTGAAAGGCGACTATGCTTGTCTTAAGAGGCGACTAACGGGATCGGGTGGTCAGGCTCGTTGACTTGTTGATGCATTTCATCGTATTCCAATTGCGTGGATCGATGCTCATGATGTCAATCACTGTATTGTCTGGTCCAGACTCGATTATTTACAGATCGACGTCATATAGCTGGAATATTGCTGAGAGCCGCGTTAAACAACAAACAAAGAAACATCAACAGGACTGGCATGCTCAATTGTGTGGTAGTACTAATAGACAAGAAAAGGCAATATAATGATTGACATCATGAACATCGATCTGCGCAATTGGGATATGCTGACATGCATCAACAAAGTCACTGATCCTTATCACCCGATCCAGCATGGGTTTGTACAACTTGTTCAAATCACAATATGGCTGAAATATTGCCGACGTGACATGAAAATTTAACTCACTCTTTCAGGGCTTACTTTCAGTATTATGCATTGAAGTGAGCAGATATGCGTCCTCCTTGTGTCGTGTATAAGTAAATGTGTGAACATAGGCGGTAACGTCACCCTTTCTAGTACTCTTTCTAGTAAATCTTTAGAGCTGAGTACGATGCAGCATCGTTCCTCTTGTACGCTTTATTATTACGTTACTCCAGAAGATAGAAATATATTAAAATAAAAAAAATAAGGTATTTAGGTGAAGGTTTTTAGGCATGCCGCTGCCCGGTCCCTTGGGCCACTGGAAGATGTGTGGTCGGAGACGATTGCCGATACATTACCGCCTTCGTATACTATGTCACAACATCTTGGGTTGAAAGGAGCTGAGGCATCTAGAACCACTTTGGCAACTCCAATCATCGGACTGACAGCCTTGAAGAGTGGCACCACAAGGCCAACCATCTAGCCAGGAAGAGCCACTCCAACATCTGCGAGGTGGTGCAGCTGTCCAGAGAGAGCAGTCCAACACCGAAGTCAGCATCCTTGGCTTGGACGGCAACCCCTCTGAACCTCCTCGTAAGCGTCGTTACCGCCAGATCGACGCCCACCCCGGGTCATTGAAGGAGGACCTGGTCAGCCACCATCTGTCTGACACTGACTATACAGTCCATTTGTCGGAACTACTTCATCGTTACTGAACATTGATAGGAATATGTACATTTGAAAATTTTAAACATTTTAACTTAAACATTTACAAATACGGTAATGGAACTGATGGGCGGTACTCCTCTGTTCTCGTTTTATTTTCCTGGTACTGGGAGCGGTAAATGTTGTGACAGTGAACCGTGTCTGAGCGGTCACTGGTCCCGGGAACGCTAAGAAGAGTTGTCCTCTTAAAAATCACATTTGGCGCTCCCAGGCCGACACAGTGGTGTACATTATTCTCAGTTGTCGGCCAACACATACAGTTTGGACGTCGAGCCTCCGAACAGAGACAACATTCATTAACGTTGTTGTCTTTTTTCCATTTCAAACATATCATGCGGATGTACCTTCGCTGAAAGAGGACATAAATGTTCACCAGAAAGACGTTTCAAACTGCCCCAGCCATCACTCAACGTAGGTGACACGGCACAAATGACGGAAATGTCAGCGTTCGTAGAAGTGGGAAAGATTTCGTATTCACTTTTTTCCTTGTAAATAAGATGGAGGAAGGTTTTTTCTGCTTGAGATCAGAGTTTGTTTCAATATGGGCCTGGGCCTCACAGATCGATTCAAGGATTAATATCTTGGCGAATCTGTGATTTGAATTCACAATCAGCGGATCATAGCACGGCAAAGGAATGCAACTTTGAGAGCGGATTATTGCGCTTTATACCACAAGGCTTCATGGAGAAATAAAGTTATATAATTTTATGAAAATATTTGTTTTGTTTGTTTGTTTGTCTGTTTATTTGTTTGTTTAACGCAGTATTCCAGCAATATGAGGGCAGTCTGTATATAATCGAATCTGAACAAGACAGTGATTGACAGTGATTGACATCATGAACATCGATCTGCGCAATTGGGATGTGATGACATGCATCAACCAAGTCACTGAGCCTGACCACCCGATCCCATTATGTTACGACCTGCATGGATTGTTGAAGACCAATTGAAAACCGGAT